TATTTTCTAAGTGTGGTTTAGAACCAGAGGCTCTGGTCGTGAAGACTAGCAGCTCTGGAAGAGAGACCAGAGGGGCTGTGGTCCTGGTTGTCGAAATATTTTCTAAGTATTGTTTGAAACCAGAGGCCCGATGGACCGAAGCAGTGTGTTTGTAATGGTGGTGTAACCGCGAGAGAGATGTAATGGCGGTATAACCGCGAGAGACATAAATATGTTTATGTATCGAAACAGGTTTGATTCTAAACTTATTGTTTAGAATGTATGTTGTTTGTTTGAGACTTATACATTCACTAGACCTTTTTGGTCTAACGCTCAGTTGTTGGACTAACCGGTTTTGCAGATCATCATACCTCACAGGATAAAGGAAAGGGAAAAGTTTAGTGTTGATGACATTTTGTTTACTCATATATGTATTAAAGAAAGTTTTTCTTAGTCCATGTTTTGTAACAATACTAGTTTTAGTATTATGAGTATGATGATGTGAATTATCTGTACATGGACTATATGGGTTGTTACATTCGGCTTATGAAATGTTTTTTATGGCTTGTGAAATGACTCATTAAAATTATATTTCAAAGGTTGTAAAACAAAGCTTATGATTGCTTAATTAATATAAAACAATATATTCTAAAACAAAAGGTGATAGCATGCATGGTGTTTTAAAGTCGTGTTGTCACGTGGTCTTGACATGTTAAAGATTCCAAATTGGCAAATACAACAAATCACATTTAGGATGCTTTTAAGATTTTTTTGCAAAAGATGAACTTTCTACCATATTTTTAAGCGATTCAGATTCGATTATTCAAAATATGATTGCTTAAAGATGTATCAAACATTAATGTTATCTCACTGTAGAGACAGGCTTAACAGAAGCAGATAAAAAAAAACTAATGAATATAAGTCAAAACTTAAAAACTAACGGATTTTTCATCAAAAATAACTTCAAATTTAGTTGAATTATGTTACTTACCATTTATATTGCATTGGAGGAAAAGATATGTATATATATATATATATATATATATATATATATATATATTTATATTATATTACAAAGCATTTGACAAAAACTTTTGAAAACCATTTTTTTATGCATGAAGTAGTGTTTATTAATGCATATTACTTAAAATTCAAGATTACAAACGAACAGTGCGTAAGTACAACTAATTAAAGCTTTATGTTTGAATTCGTGTAACTAACTGTAAATAATCATAGTCAAATAGAAAAGATAAACATTTCATTTTAAATATAAAATATCTAAAATATAATTAGGATAATCATTGAGTTTTAACATAATATTTAATTATTATCCTTATAAAAAAATTATATATTATTAAATCAAAAATAAATTACTTCATTATTAAATCTAAATTTAAATTATAATAAAATAAATAAATTACACGAAAAACAAGAACTTTTAAATAGTTAATTTAATACTAATATTGATATATTTATTTTTGAAATTTTATGATATTTTCAAATTTGTATTTTATTTAAAAATAAAAATATTATCCATTTCTCAAAACCACATAAAAATCGTATTAAAACATCTACAGAGACGGAATAAAACGAAACATTCAAAGTCGAGATATATCTCGTTGCATTGTGCGAGTACCCTTCTAGTTCAATTAAAATCAGTTTTGTTCGAATGATGGAACCACTTCCAATTATTTAAATCAGTTTTGTTCGAATGATGGAACCACTTCCAATTATTTAAATCAAAACTTTTATCTTGAATGTTGTTTTTGAAGGTGTATTTGTCAAACCCGCAATCCCTTTAAGGCTTGAAGTAGCTACGAGCTGCCCCATCGAAACAAACTTTTAAAAGCCGAAAACGGTTTGAAGTAAGACGTTGAAATCAATCAAATTAAATACAATCTTACTGTTCATGTTGGATGATCTTGTATTGTTCAGCCCAGTGCCATGCTAAAATCCCCATATTTGAACGTTCATCTCCCATATTTCTCTTCCTAACAATCTTTTACCATGATCAATTGATAGAACATAAGAAAAACGACATCAAAATTAATAACGACGTTTTTTTATGGTTCATGGATTCTTGATTCTCACCTTAAAGTACGGTTTATTTATAGTCTTCTAATGCCCTAATAAGGTTGTTCACAAAACTGACTTAATGATCGATAGATGGACGATTGAGTTATTGGTTGTAGCACATGTTGTGTTGACTACGAAACTGAGATAGTTTTTAGATGTGAAGAACTAAGATAGTTTTCAGATGTTGATGTCGATTTTGCCTAAGAAACTATCACTCAATAATCTATACTATACTATACTATATTAAAAGCATTTGACAAAAACTTTTAAAAATCATTTTTTATGCATGAAGTACTGTATATTGATGCATATTACTTAAAATTCAAGATTACAAGTAAATTATGCACAAGTACAACTTGTTAAAGCTCCACGTTTGAATTCATATAGCTAACTGTAAATAAACATAATTAAATGGAGGATAAACATCTCATTTTAAAATATAAAAAATCTAAAATATAATTACGATGATTATCGAGTTCTAACAAAATAATTAATTATTATCTTTATAATAAAATTATATATAGATTACTTTGTTATTGAACCTAAATTAAATTATAATAAAAAATTAAATTAAAAAAATAGAAATTTTAAATAGTTAATTTGATACTATTATCGATATATTTTTGTCAGATTTTTATGATATCTTCAAATTTATATTTTATTCAAAAATAAAAACATTATCGCTTTTTCAAAATCACATAAGACCATACTATAACATTGACTGAGATAAAGAATAAAATGAAATATAAAAATCAAGATGTATCTCGTTGCATTGTGTGAGTATCCTTCTAGTTCTTATCAAACGGGTGAGTTGCAACACTTGACAAGGGTTGTCTTTTATCGTCACCATGGCATTAAATGTTGCTATCCAACTTTAACGCGTGTCTTCATCTGATATATTGATGAGTGCATGCTTGTATTATTCATGTCAACCTTTTGATATTGATGGAGATGTTTGTTAACACAAGTCATCCTATCATATGAAAAGGGGGCAGTAAAAAAAGTATGGTACTAATGAAATACTAGCATCAATAAATTCTAGCAGAAAAAATGTTGCTCAAAGGTATATAGCAAACTCTAAGAGCATACCTCTTTAATGGTCACAATAGGGCAGAGATCATCGAACTTATGGAACTGATTGTTGTAGTTGGTGGCAAAATAATGGTATGTTGCATTCTTGAGGATCCGAAGAGGATGGTTATCTCTTCTATGAAGTTGCAATCTGAGTCTCATGAATATCAGATCCGGGACATTATTTGTTGGTTCATCCCTGATCACATCTGAATTACAGATTACCAATAGAGACTAGATCAGGAGATAAATTGAAAAGAGTAACATACTAACATCAATGAATTCTAACTCCACAGCTAAAATAGGACTTGGTAATAAAAAAAATCCACCAAAAAAATTGTACTACAACAGAAGGAGATGAACTTGAATTTGTTTGCAAATGTTGTAACTTACCCATTTGATCTATAGCCCGAGAAGGACATCAACTTAAAAGGCAGTACTAAAAAAATCCAGCCTACTCAAATACAGTGATGGCCAAACCGGCCCGACCTGGCAAAGGACCAGTTATAGGACTGCTGACCGGGACCGGTTATGGTTTTGGAGGGTTTCGAGGGACCGACCCTGCCAGGACCGGTTATGGGCCCGACTCGGTTTTTAAGAAAGTAGCCGGTTTTTTTGAAAAAGATAACCATTATATGACTGTTTATGACCGTTTTTTGGTCGTTGTTCCCTTCTAAACCCTATATATAAGTATCATGGTTGAAGGATTTATATACCAACTTACAAAACGCAAAAATAAAATGTTCATAATTTTCGGTTTCTCGCTATACTTTGTGACTTCAATTCGTATTTTTAAAGTGTAACCCAATTACAAATTTTATAATATATTAAAAAAAATCTATCATTAAGAAAAATAAAAAAAATACTTTTTTTGGTCAAGATCGGACCGACTAACCATAACCGGTTATAGGAATGCTTAACCGGGCTTAATATTTTCGATCGAGACCGGTTATGACCGGCACTCGTGACCTTTTTGAGTTTAACATAAAAAGGCATGGGCCGATGATTCCCTTTGGGCTTTTTCTATCCATGGCCGTCGCCCCATTGGCCTATAGCCAGGGGTAGTGATGACCAAACCGGCCCGGCCCGGAACCGGCTAAGGATCGGCCCGGCCCAGGACCAGTAAGGATCGGTTATGGGACCGTCGGTTACATTCGGTTATGGTTTTTGTCGGATTTGTGGGACCGGGACCGGTTATGACCCAACCCGAAATATTAAAAAATTGACTTTTTTTTTTTAAATATAACCGTTAATTAGCCAATTTTGACCCTTTTTTTTGTATTTTTTGGCCTCTAAACACTATAAATATATAACAAGGTTGAAAGGTTTACATACCAAGTCCTCAATTCGCAAAACACGTAAAATATGTTCACAATCTTCGTAATAAAACATATTTTAAAAGTGTATTTGAGTGATCCGTACAACAAATTTAATAATGTATTTAAAATATATATCATTAAAAAAATTAATTTTTTAAGGGTGGGACCAGTGGCCCATAACAGATTATAAACTAGCCTGACCGATTTTCATCTATTTGGTTGAGACCGATTATAACCGGTTATGAGAAATCTTGGGATCGGTTGGTACCGGCCAGGGACCGATTTTTGGCCCTCACCAGCCAGGGGCCTGTACATGATATGGATATCCGGAACCATATAGATGAATGTTCAAACAGGCGGCGTGGGGCTCCATTTTTGCGCGTTGGTAGACCCGGATTTCCGTTTCAATCCGAACCGCACCCGGCCGCCCTTTTTCGTCACAAATCCATCGGAATTCCCTTCTGATTCTTCCTTCTCCGACCGTCCAAGAACCCTACCTTCGTGCTATATATAAGCGTGTCGTCGTTTCTTGCATCTGCTGGCTCTCATCAATACTGCTCCCGGGGACAACCAGGTAAACGAACTATTTTTCGTTTCTTCACATACTCTTTGTTGGTCTTCAATTATTTTGCGGTTTTAATGTAAAAATTTAGGACCATTTCCTGCTAAAAATCGATTTTCTTGTGGCATTTGATCTTCTACAAGATTTGTAAGGTGTTAAATTAGATTAGGGTTAGTTTTTAGCTCATTGCGGTTTCGCTCTATAAATATATTTCGATTTGGCCGGCGTCACTTTGGGGAATTTTTGTTTGTGTTCTTGTGAATTATTCCCGCATACATTAAGCCGACGTTTTCATAAAGTCCAAGAAATTTGATTTGCATTTTGCAGAATCCATGGCACATAGGATATTAAGAGATGTTGAAGCTGATGGTTGGGAACGCTCCGATTTTCCAATCATATGCGAGTCATGCCTTGGTGACAATCCTTACATTCGAATGGTAATCTTCCTACACTTTCTTTTATTGTAATGCAAGGTTTATGTTTCCATTCACTTGCTATTATAATTTATAAATTTGATTAATGTAGTGCGAAGCTGGAATTTTTATTGGCATTGTGCTTAGCAGTTCATGGATGACATATCCTTAACTTGGATGTCTACTTTGTTATCGTTGTATGCTTATTGCTTCTAATAGGTACCAATAATATTTTAGAATGAAGACGAACTCTGAACTTTTCTTATACTGATCAGTGGGTCACTTTATATTAAAAGATATACATAATTCAGCTCTTCTGCATAAGATTTAGAAACTGCATGAATGGGAATGTGATGGCTACTGACTTCTGCTAACTAAAGATGTAGAATCCTTATATTTGATACTGATAAGAGTCAATATGACATTATATGCTGTGTCAAATGGGAAAAGGGGTGTAAATATATCCAACTCCAATTCTTTATTGTTAGGGCGCATTTTAAGTATGCACAAATTTGAAGAATGAAGATGAGCAAGTTTGGAACAATCAAATTTGTCAGGTCAAAGGACGACGGGTCAAACTGGTGGTAGTCTATTCCATTTTAGTGGGATTTAATCATGCTGACATGTAATAATACCCACATCAGATAAGAACTATCACCATGCCGTCATTCCGCTTCCACTTTCCTGCCAAGAGATAATATCAGTATTGGTGTGTGTGTACGTGTACATACTTATAAAAATTGGTCTGAAGTCTTATTATGTTACATTTTCTTCATTGCCAGCTGGATTATAATAAAAGAAGGGTCGAGTTAGGTCATTTCAACAGTTTCTTCACTTGCATATATCCCTAGATTGAAGGAGCGTTCATTTTTCTTTTAGAAGCTTCTATCATGAGAAGTGTAATGCTGCCAACACAATGTTTTTGTTCTCTGATGGCCTTCTCATCCAGATACTTTGTAGCCAAGTCTTTCATTTTGCTCTGTACTACCTTTCAACTCTCTCTTTTTGTCGATTTTGTTTTCATGGACTACTCATTCCAAGTAGTTTAACATCAGAGGTGGTTGATTAAGGTTTGGTACATGGAACCATTGTCAACCTTGGGAACGTGGTCTGGTGGTCTGCCACCTGTGGTATTTTTCTTTTTCTTCTAATGCTCATTTAGACAAAGATGATGCTGGTGTTTTCGTTGGCTTGATACGAATGGCTCTTTCTAAAAGTGCTCCCCTACCCTGTTTGTGGCTGTCCCTCTTGTCATGCTTTGAAGTATACTTTCTGGTTCTGCTGTCCTTATTTATGCTCTACCACTTAATTAACTTCAAAGTGTTTAAAGTTAATGGTAGAGGCATAGAGCACAACCTAAGTAGAACACTGAAGTGTGAAATCAAATTGAAAATTGTTGTATAACAATATACCACATTGTTGTCTTCACCATTTTCAGTACTGGTACAAAATCCAGTTTCTTCTTACGAACATTAGCTTCCTTTCATCATTCTTTATTTTCCATTATTGCATCCTCAACCTTAGTTTCCGTTTTCTTTTTATTATTCTCTCTTCCATTATTGCTTTTGATTCTTGGGAAAACTTGTTCAATGTGTGCTTGATAAGATTCATCCAGTTTCATTACAAGATACTAACATTCAACCTTATGCAGACAAAAGCAAATTATGATAAGGAGTGCAAGATCTGCACCAGGCCATTCACAGTCTTTCGGTGGAGACCCGGTCGTGATGCAAGATACAAGAAAACTGAAATTTGTCAAACATGCAGCAAGTTGAAAAATGTTTGTCAAGTGTGTCTTCTAGATCTTGAATATGGTTTACCAGTACAAGTTCGTGATACTGCACTCAGTATCAACTCGAATGATGCCATTCCAAAGAGTGATGTGAACAGGGAATACTTTGCAGAGGAGCATGATCGCAGGGTATGCAAATTTGCAATTTATTATTATCTCTTTTTGTAAATTAATTGAAGTATGATATGTGATCTGGTTAGTTGGACCTGACTAGGAGTGAATCCTAGCCCCAATTTTGTTTGGTGTGGGGCCTTGACCGTTCTTGAACAAATCAGACTCACTTAGACATGTTCTTATCTCAGAAACCGTGACTGGTATGTGTATCTTACCTTAGCAAGCCCAGGTCAGTCATGATTCGTCCCTTGACCAGTTTTAGGCATCTTTTTAAGTATTAATTAAACAATGAGTGTTGTGAAAACATCATCCAAGTATTATTAGGCATAACTTACAAGTTAAGCTGTCATTTTTTTAAGTACGTTAAGAAGTAAGTTTATTTCGAAACTTTAACTTGCATTAGAAGGCCCAACCTTGAAACAAAATTACCTTGGAGTAGAATGATTGAAATAAAATAATACATCAATTGTATTTGGATTAGGTTCAGTCAAATCTGAATCATGCTAGGTCAAAATGTATGCTGTTAATTACACCGCTATAGCGGTGCTGTCGTGATTAGCAGTCATGGGACAAATAGTGGTGGTCAAATAGTGGTCTGAAATAGCGGTTTTGTGATTAGCGGCGCTATTGACCACTAAATGACCGCATTTTGAATGCAAAAAAGCAGCCGCATAGCTGCTATTTGTAGATAGGCTGTTTTGGTGTTAAAAAGGTAATTTTGTGGGCTTTTATTTAGGATTTACATCCAGTTTTATTTTAGTCCAACAAATATCAAGGCTTCATTATTTTTATTTTTTTGGACTAGGACACTATTACTTTTTTTTAACTTGAACACCATTATTCTCATTTTTTTGGATTTGGACACCATCACTTTGAACTCTTGATTTGAAAAGTATTCGCATTGTTGAACTATTGTTATTTGGACTTGGACATATTATTCTTATAAATTTTTTATTGAATACATAAAATATGTTGAGTTATGTATGCACATATAATATAATTCTAATTATTATATGAACCACTATTTTTGGACCGTTATACCACCGCTTCGCCATCAGAATAACCGCTATTTCAAATCACGGTTTTGATCACAATTTCATATTTTGACCTCTGTAACAGCATAGGTCAAAATCTGGTTAGACTGGATCACAGTTTAGAATCCAGTCTTGAAACTTTTTGTGCATCTCTAGTTTGGTGTTACTACAGTGGCTTTGATAGGATAATCGTCCTTCAAACTTTTATAAAATACCTTGTGTACCAAAATGAAAAACGAGATTTTGCTTAAATCATAAAAGCTAAAATCTTTTTTCATTTATGTGTTAAACTTAATCACAAGTCACTATTATACAGTATTGACAGGAGTTGAAATTGTCACCAAGCATCTTTCATAATCAAGTGTTAATGGATTTCATCAAGGAACTGAGTGTATTGAATGGGATGAAGAACACATATTAAGAAGACTAGTTTATTATGGAAAGAAATTCATTAAGAAAAGGAAGTGTGGAGTAGATTGTATTAACTCGAACTTCAGAAGAACTGCCGAAAGGATGCAAGTGCAGCTTAAAAGTTGAAAAAACCGAAAGGTTCATTTAATTTGGAACAAATGCCAAAAGGATCATATAATTTGAGGCGGAGGGTGTTGCCTGTATGACAGGTTGGGCATAAAATTAGCTACTAGTAATTAGTTTAGTCCTGACCCATGTTTCTAAAAAATATGGTTCTTGACCAGGACTTTTTATTATTTTATTACTTCTTCTGTAAGTTATAACCTATAGAAAATTGGTACAAAAAATATCAAGTGCTCATTTATCCTTTTCGCCTGCAGGCAAGGGCTGGTCTGGATTACGAGTCGTCATATGGTAAGGCTCGCCCAAATGATACTATTTTGAAGCTTCAAAGAACAACACCATATTACAAGAGAAATCGAGCACATGTTTGCAGTTTCTATATCAGAGGTGAATGTACAAGAGGTGCTGAATGCCCTTATAGGCATGAGATGCCCGTCACTGGCGAGCTATCCCAGCAGAATATCAAAGATCGTTACTACGGGTATGTAACCATTCATACAACACCATAACCTGCTTTATGCATTTATAACATTAAACAACATGCTTAACTAAATATTAATTTTAAAGAGAACCCGTTGAAACGGTTTAACAGTGGTAAATGTGGAAGTTGTGTGTACATGCTTGGAGATGTACAACATGCTTTTGTTCTTTGTTGCTAGTTTTACAGCTTTAAACATTTTACAAGAGATTGGTGTTACGACATTTTGAACTTTAAAGAAAAGGAATGGAAAACAAGAAAAGTTCTTTAAGTTAGATCCGATTACATTGAGCGTTACTCTAATTTAACTATAAGGTGTTGGAATATTGCATTGTGATGATTCTTGATCAGGAGATCTTTGTTAGGTGCTGTTTGTTTTTTGGAAAATACCTCTTATTCATGGCTTATTTTCTTACTGAATAAGAGGTTGGAGTTATAAGACTGTTTTTTCTGTGAGAAGAGATTAACTGTCCTCTTGCTGATGTTAGTTTGCACCTTCTGTGTTGAATTTGTGACCTCTTATTTTCAGATGAATATTATCTTTGTGATTCTTGATAATTATTGTTTTCACATTTTATTTATTGTTTTAAGATAAAGATTTCTTGATAATTATTTTACAATTTATGAGTAAAATGGAATTCTTTCATATAAATTCACATCATAATACTTTGAGGGTTAAAATAGACAATTACATATTCAGACATTTATCAACTTTCATTCAGAACCACCTCTCAATAAGACTTGACAGTTCAGTACCTTTTAGAAAAACAAACAACACTTTAGAATTGTAGGACCTTAGCTAGGCGACTTCAAATTGATGAAAATTTTGCAAATTTTAGATTGTTCAAAATTCATCAAGTTCTACCTGAATTCGGAATGAATGTTTTTAGTCGACAAGTCGTTTCCTCTATTTGAAATTTGATTGTTTTATACTAATACATTATTGAGATTTCAAGTAATGAGGAAGAATGTGTATGTGATATTTCCGTCATTATGATTGCAGAGTTAACGATCCAGTTGCATTAAAACTTCTAAACAAGGCCGGTGACATGCCTTCTTTAGAACCCCCTGATGACGAAAGCATCAGAACCCTGTACGTTGGAGGGCTCGATGCAAGAATTTCCGAGCAGGACCTCCGAGACAACTTTTACGCCCACGGTGAAATTGAGTCCGTCAAGATGGTGCTCCAACGAGCTTGTGCCTTCGTTACCTACACCACCCGAGAAGGGGCAGAGAAAGCCGCTGAAGAACTCTCCAACAAGCTTGTTATCAAAGGCCTTCGGTTAAAACTGATGTGGGGCCGACCACAAGTGCTGAAACCCGAGGGCGAAATGGTTTCAGATGAAGCCAGGCAACAAGCAGTTGCCCACAGCGGTTTATTGCCAAGGGCGGTTATATCACAGCAGCAAAACCAAATGGTTCAGCCACCGGGAACTTCAACTAGTCAAGAACAACCACTACCACCACCGCCTCATATGCACTATTTTAACATTCCGCCACCACCACCGCAGCGTGAGAAGGCGTTTTATCCATCCATGGATCCTCAGAGGATGGGTGCGGTGATCCCTAACCGAGAAGGTGGGTCTAGTGGGTCAGTTGAGAATAGAGCTGGTGGTTCGGAGCAGCGGCAGCAGGGTGGTCCACATTATGCCGCCTACCCACCACCACCACCACCACCACCTCAAGGTGGTGGCCAGTATTATCAGCAGTATTATCCACCACCACCGTACGGGTATATGCCGCAGTCTCAAACACCACCATATCAACAATACCCTCCACCATCTTACCCTTCCACAATGCCACCACGAGGACCAACCGGTGAGCAAGCTTATCAGCAGAAACCACCACCAGCTGCTGCCGCCGCTGTAGCAGGGCCATCACAACAATGATGGCAAGAACCTTCTGTTGCCAAAAAAAGGTGGATCTGTCACGAATAACCCCTTTCTCCCTAGCTTTTGATTTTTGTTGGTAAAACAATTAAAACGTGACGATAGAAAAAAGAATGCCCAGATTTTGTAACTTGTGTTTTACGTTAACTTTGCTGTAACGTATTGGATTTGTCTGGCATCTTTCATTCTTTCCTTTTTTAGCAAGATTGACGGAAACGTGCTCTTCACTCATCGGTTCAAAGGTAAACGTTTGTGCACTTTTTACCCTAAAATCTTACCTTAGAATTTTGTGGGTTTGTTTAATTTTGTTGTGCAAAACAAAAAAACAAAGAGATCTTGTAAATAATGTTCATAAACATGCACATATATATATATACACATACACACATACATATACGATGGCTAGTTACAAGTGACAGGAAATGGTAGCAAAAACCTTGTCTTTTTGTGCATAGATTTCAAAGATCGATCAATCGGTGTTATCATGGGTAGCCGGGTGGCCGATCCCGTGCCGTCGGGTGGGAAAAACAACGAATAACATGCTGCAAATGAGACCGATGCCGATAGGAATGATGTCCAAAACCTCCTGAGCTTCATGGTCGGGCGTAGGATAGAAGCAACTGACCACATTCCGATCCCTCAATGCCACTGCTGCGAGAACCAGTACCGTGAGGACTGCGTGCACCCAATCGATAAGCCTCAGCCGGTACTTTCTTAAATCAACGACATTCTTCGGATCGTAGTAATCAAAGAGCCACATCCCTTTTAAAGTTGCGAATCCGTAGTAGAGCTGGCCATCGGCTGACTTGAAACTATCGGTGAAACAGGAAAGGAAGGCGGAGGTGGCTAAGAGGAGGAGGAGGATGGCGGTTAAGGGGCGGGTGGCAGAGTCGCAGGAGCCGTTGTTGGTGAAGATGGGGGTAAGGAGTTGGAAGGCCAAGAGGGTGCCGGTTGGGAGGAGTTTGGCTAGATTAGCGGTGGTCGTTAGTGTCTGAGAGATTGCTCGTTGGGAGGCGGATGGTGGTGGTGGTTCCGGGGTGGTGGCGTCATCGTCATTGGTGGCGGGTTGCTTGGCTCTTAAAGACATGATTTGATAGGAATACGATGATGGTATGAAAAAGAGAAGTTATAGAGTTGGTTTTATAGTGGCGTGTGGGATTTGTATGCGACAATTAATAACTTAAAGAGGATTTATGTCACCATTAAATACTTTATATGTTTAATAATTAAATGATGTTTTGGAAACACACATTTTGCTTTTGTTGGTAGCTTCTAATTTGAGACTTTGAAGAAAATGAAACGTGCGAACTGTCATGGAGGTTTGGTTTCTTTGATTATGAACGATCATGTGATACGAGAACTGATCTGATGCATCTCACACATGTTGATCTTCAATTTTGTTACCTTCTCACCAGAACCTCAGAATTAGAGCAAAATGAATCCAAATCTAATGAATTTATTTTAGCTTCTGTTTAATGAAATAATATATATATATATATATATATATATATATATATATATATATATATAGAGGAAATGAAATGAGAACTGATTGGTTTGTGGTAATTGTGAGGTCCAATCTCAACCATAAATCAACAGATAAATTAGGAAATTAATAATTATGGTAGTTTGAGTTAAAATTATAATTAGAGGGCATATTAGGTATTTTTTAAAAACTCATCTCTCCGACCTCCAATCTCCGGCCTCCGGTGAAATCGGTATTACAGTATATCACAAAGGGTATCACATTATGTATTACAATGAGTATCACATTGTGTATCTTTGTTTTTAAGGTTTGAGTTGATATCACAATGGTATCACAGTATATTACATTGCGTATCACATTGTGTATCTTTGTGATTACTTGGTACTTGTCGGATTAATGTTCACCGAAGGCCAGAGATTGGAGGTCGGAGAGATGAGAGAGGAGAGAGGAGTTTTTATAAAATACCTAAAATGCCCTCTAATTATAATTTTAACTCAAACTATTATAATTATTAATTTCCCAATTTATCCGTTGATTTGTGGTTGAGATTGGATTTCACAGTTACCACAAACTAATCAGTTCTTCCTTGAATGAGCCCTTATATATATACATAGAAGAGCGATCAAATGAAAACCACCTCCATTTGTGTAAACCGTGTAAACCAATCTCATTCATCCATTTTCTTGATCGATGGTCAAGTTTAGTTTAGTTTATTTTAGAAAATTAAATATATATATATATATATATATTAAAATTTAATTTTTATATCAGCAATAAGGTCAAAATTGTAAATAAAATATATATTCTCTAACATCCCATGAACCAGTTTCACCTTCATGAAACCTGTTTCATATACATTAATTTTCTTATTTCACTTCTGATTTGATGAATTCATTCCTTTAAGCCTTACAATCTTCAAGATTCTGGAGCAGATTACAATCTTTAAGATTCTGGAGCAGATTCATCATATACGCGTTTCATCATGCAATTATTTCATGACGAACCAAATACATTATGCACCCGTTTCACTACTCATTATTCAATTACGCCATGAACCAGTTTCACCTTCATGAAACCTGTTTCATGTAAATTAATTTTCTTATTTCACTCCTGATTTGATGAATTCATTTCTTTAAGTCTTACAATCTTCAAGATTCTGAAGCTGATTACAATCTTCAAGATTATGGAGCTGATTACAATCTTCAAGATTCTGGAGCAGATTCATCATGTACCCATTTCATCATGCAATTATTTCATAACGAACCAAATACATTATGCACCCGTTTCGTTTTCCATTTCACCTACTAAATGGATCAACTAGACCATCAATGAAACGAGGTTCACCATGAAACCAGTTCACTACTCATTGTTCAATTACGACATGAACCAGTTTCACCTTCATGAAACCTGTTTCATGTACATTAATTTTTTTTATTTCAATCCTGATTTGATAAATTCATTCCATTATGTCTTACAATCTTCAAGATTCACCAGCAGATTCAATCATACCACAATATATTAAGTTCAAAATTTTAATATTATAATATAATTAAATATTTAAATATTATCATTTATAAAATTTCTTTTATTACATTTTCTTAATTAAGAATTATTAATAATTTCTATATTTAATAGAAAATATTGTAAATAACCGAAATACCCTTATTGATTAAATTTCATTTTTTTCAAATTAATAATTTCCTGTTGACCTTGTATACCATCTCATTGCTGAAAAAAAAAACAAGATTCCTTTTTCCGACGTAAATAGATTTGATCGGGGGTTGGGTAAGAACACCACTTAACTTTATTACATTTTACCACATTTTAAGATTCAAAATTATATTTGAAAATTTCGGACTCTGATCGATTTTGTTTTCCGGAAACCTCAGATTGAGACGGAATAAATCCTTGAAAGATATAAAAACATCTACTTGTAAACAACATTCTGCTTGAACAAATACGTCGTTTTCAAGATATTGAAAACTCTATATGAACATAGGATTTCAAACTTCAACACAAGCTTAATAACTCGCCAATTACACTGGCTTCTAATACCAAAGTCGATGAAGCATCGACCGTTTGTCTCCAGACGCAGCCAGCCATCAATCTATTAGTGCTAATACTACTTGATGAATGATGAAATTGCAGCACCAATTGAGTTGCTGCGCGAAGAACCATGATGGTGATGGTGAACCAATGAATGAGGTCTTCTCCACAAGGATTTTGGATTTTCAGGAAATAAGGAGGCACATAACTCCAAAACCATCGGGTTCTCATAACGCTGGTGAAGGTTCTCGTACAATTTGGCCTTCTCACTTGCATCTGCCAATTCCTGTAGTCACAACAACGATCACTTCAATAGGTTTTGTAGTGAAAGATGTCCACCAATTATATCAAGCTCGATTTCCCAATTTGAGAGCTACTAAAATTTTCTACCACATGAATACAATTCCTAATTTAGTACCCCGACCGCCCCCAAAATGCAACAATTTCCATTTCAGGACATGCCATGAGATTTATTCTTGTGCTCCATATTTAAATCAGAAGGTGAAACAGGGACACAACGAAAAGGTTGGCTGCCACCGGCATATAATAGCAAACACGACTACGAATTCAAGTAGAATTCAAGAAAAAAAAAAAGTTCAATTACCTTAGGCTTCTGATGTTCAACAACTGCAGTTTCATCCTCGTGCTGCATCAATTGTTCTTCATTATTTGCATCATCCTTGGTTGCATCGCCTGCTTCAGCCATTTGTACGCCTCCAGATTTACCAGGTAGCTGAGATTGTTCAGCTATCGCACTTTCTTTGTTGGTTTGGCATGGTGTCTCTTTCTCCTTTTCTGCTTGTTGCTTACTCTGATAACTGTTATGTATCTCCTTCTCCAGCTTCACTTCCTCTCCTTTATCTTCCATCTCAGCATCTGCATCTTGATTTTGTGAATTGTCTGTACTCGATGATGTATCATCGCCGTTAGGGCTCCCCACCACTGAAGTTCCCTAATAAATATTTAAAAAATGAAAAATAAAATCAGCTCCAAGTGGGTGTTTGGTACGCTAGACAAAATGGTACAAAAACTGGTCCCCACATTTGGCGCAACATTAGACTAGGACAGAGATTAACAAGCCACTAAAACCTGTTATATAGCTCATAATGCAACTTTTTAGTGAAGACATTATATTATTTGACTTGTAAACTTCGATTCCATGAGCAGTTGTGCAGCATACTATGCATTGTGAATGTTGTTGGTGCTGTTCACATTATATTGTATCTAAAACATGAAGATCCAGAAAGTTGGTGACTTCACTTACCTCAGTCTTGACCTCGTAGACCAGACCATCACTTGTTTCTGTCTGATCATCAGCAGGATGCATAATCTGCTCACGCTCCTGCCTGCGCCGCATCATGATACAAATAGCACATAGACAATCATCCTTGTGGCGCTTGACTCTGGAAAAAATGGAGAAACAATATAACATCAATTCTCTCTGAGGTCAAGCTTCTTATATTGGAACCGAAAAGTTGACAGAATAAAATGCTAATTCACTGGCAGTAGGCTTGCGTCACCCACTTTTCAACAAACCAGAGAATTGTCCAAGACCAACCACATTTACATCTAACGAATTACAGGCGACCAACCAAAGTAATTTTACATAAAGACAAAGAATACCCATGACGCTTTCGTGACTTATGTTTTAGGTGCCCACCCTTGCTGGTCTTCCCATGACTGGATATGTTGCCATCCTTCACGTCACCTGCAACGAAAATGACGTGCTGTGAGGAACTGAGACAATCATACTGTTACCACAACAGATTTCAGAACCCTAATAATGGTCTGAGGGTGATAAACGACTTGAATTGTTTGTAGATGTCGTGTGTCTAGATTGGAGTAAAGGAACCAAACCATAAGGGAAAAAAAAAAACAATCCGCACAAGTGCAGATACATCAACTTGAAGACGCCGTTCAATTGGACATCAAAATATATTCAACATAAATCAGCCAGCTGAGTGCATCCACATAGAACCTCACCACTGTGACCTTGCTGTTCATTATACAACCCTGCAGCAGTCCAGTACTTTGCAAAATTCTTTTTCACACGTTTCATGAGCTCCAAGATGTAATCGCCTTTATTATTGTACTTGTAGCAATTCTCCCATATATACTGCACATCCTTGTACACGTCCTCCGAATTCATATACTTAAGGCCATTTTCAAGGTTGCTGCATATGGTGCCGAAATCCATAGGTGTTTTGATAACATCAAAATAATCCTGTACAAATGAAAGGGGGGATATGAGTTCCGGAAATACTAATATACAATACCGATTCAAGAATAGTTGAGAAAAAAAACTAATAAGACAGCAAAAGCTAATATACTAGACCTTGCATAAAAACGACTACAATATACCACTACTATGTGCAGCAAAGCAAAGCTGTGAAAGTTTGATATTCATACATGTAAAACGACAGTTATATTCCTCTATGACAAAAAAGACAACATATGAAGACCTTGCTAAATAACAACACTGTACCACTACCACGTGCAGTAAAGTGACGCGGCGAAAGCTAGATATATATATATATATATATATATATATATATATATATAAATGTTCTTCTATGTCGAACAAAACAGCAGATGAATCTAAAAAAGAGATGACAACACATGTATAGTTTAGAATCTTCATAAAATAGTATCCCACTCCTGGAAAGTTGGAATAATAGGCCAATTAAATGTCTTCAAGAAGTCAAGCTTACAGGTATTCCCAGAGCAACAGGGTTCACTGGAACATTAAAAGGCTCTGCTGCATCCATTTTCATAATCTTCTTAACCACCTACAAAGGAACAGAATAAGACCATGATGAAGAATTACATTCAGATATACCATGAATATTATAAGGGGCTGTTTAGCAGTTGCTGAATGGTTTGATGCAGAATGATTAAGAGGCTCTCATGATATCGTGCAAAATGAAATATAATTATTTGGTAATTATTTACAATGAAATTAGGATACTGAATGGTTAAGAGAGGCCCATGATACAAAATCATTGAGAGGGTTTTAGAACCATTAAGAGGCAGACTTTTTTTGCCAAACAAGATTCACCTCTTAACGATTCAGAGGCTGCCTCTTAATGGAACTATTAAGAGGTAAACAAACAACCCCTAAGATGGATATTTCACATAAGCATCTTAACATAATACTCCCCCCACTTTTCCATTTTAGGTCAATAGGTATCTTAAGGTAATACCCCCTCCGTCCACAGAATTTGCAGCAGTTTCCGTTTTGAGGACGTCCCATTTATTTGCATCGCTTTTTTTGTATCATATCTTCAAGCTATAGATACCCGTATGCCCAGTCATCATTACAAATTATTTGTGCTTATGATTTGGTTCATGATTCTACGTCTTTTGAGTATTAAGGGTATTAGGAATTTGACACAATATTCACACTTAAGTTAGATTATCTGCTAGTCAAGCAATGCATTTCTTATGGGAAGAAGGGAAAAATAAACCAAAAAGAAGAAGATACGAATTAAAGGTACCTCAAGGGAAGCATGCAGTTCTTGCTTGTTGTATACAGAATCTCGAGAAAGTGACTCGGGCTCTTTCTGGTGTGATCTCTCTGCCTGGGCCACTCCAGCATTATTACAAGGACTCAAACTTGAGGTAAAATCCTTTGATGATTTTATTTTTATGCTCCCAGCCTTTTTTGCATGAGTCGCTGAAACACCTACATTGCTATCAGGCACTGAGTTGGCACTGTCTTCTACTTTGTCACTAACTACTTGTTTTTCAAGACCTATTTGCTGGCTACTCTTATCAGTATCACTGTGTGTATGTGCATCTGAAGAAGTGAGCTGGGTTTCTAATGCTTTTGAAGGTTTGATCTTGACTTTGACACGATTATAAACCAATCTCCCTACTGGCTTATCAATTGCTCCAGTTGAACTAACAGCTGCAGGTTTTTCTGGTTGATCAGTTCCTGTTGACGATGGAGTTTCAATATCCATTCTCGAGTTTGTCTCATCTTTCTCAACATCATCCGGACCAGATACATCTTCAGCACTTAAATTCACAATGTTTGGATCGGTCTCTGTTATGCCCACCTTAGGGGCCTTTTTTGATTTTCCCTTCTTTCCACGCTTGCGCTTCATGTTTATACTACCTCTATTTTATGGATATGAAGCTTCGTACAGCAGATCTTTATGTCCAACCAGATTGGGGACGCACTGAATGTAGAAATGTTTAAGATACAGCAAGCCTCCAATATTCTGATGAGATAGCAAAGTTCTAACAATCAGTGACCTTACAGACACCTTTGCAAGACATTTAGAGCAAATTGAAGCTTTTTGGATAATATGAAGAGGAATATAATGAGATTGCATGCACTCTAAAGTAGTAGTCCAAGAACAACTGCACAGCACACCAAAATAATAAAATAGTAGATAAATGACCACAGCAAATGGGTAGGCACAATGGCACATTGAAACGTAACGAAAGGAAAAACATTCATCCCTCCAACAATCGTCCATCTGAAAACGTATCCACCCTATCCCCACCCTCATGGCCTCAACCTCTAAATTATCTTTTTCCTATCAACTACCTATACCTGTTCAATTGCTCTAAGCCTACTTCGCCAATAACTCCTATCAATCGTGCCATAAAAAATGTCTAAGACCACCATGCGCATCCTAAACTACTCATCCCACATTCCCCTCAGCATGCCCCTCCTCCATGTCCCCTCTACCGTCGCACTTTAAATTCTCCTCATCGGTGCCGCATCAGTCTCCTACGAACGTCTCCAAACCATCGCAATCTTCTTTCTCTCAATTTTTATTGACAAGTGCCACTCCCAACTTTGCCCAGAAAACCTCATTTGGTATCCTATCTAACATGGTCCATCCAAATGTCTATCTTAGCATCTTCGTTTTCACAACATCTAACTTCCTCTCATGAGCCTTCTTAGTAGCCCAACACTCTGACCAATACAACATAGCTAGTCTGATGGCTACCTTTAAGAATATGGCCCTCTGTTTTAGTAGAATCTTCTTGTCCCACAACACCTCTAAGGCAACTCTCACCACCTTGCCTTTATGCAATGTGTTATGTCAACCTCGATTGGTTGAATAATAGAGCCTAAATACTTGAAGTTGACCCATTGGGGAACCCTCTGCCACCTAATATTGACTCCGTACCCATCATCAAATCGCCCCTACTGAAATTGCACCATATGTATTCTGTCTTATATCAGCGAATCTGCAAACCTTGTGATTCCAAGGCCACAATCCACTGCTTCAACCTCTTGTTCACCTCTACCAACCAGCATAACACCATACGCAAAGTCAAAGAAAGAGAGGTCAAGGAGAGGTTGGAGCAGTAAAGGGTATATAAAAAGGTTTTAATTGCTAGAATATATATTTAATAACCTTTTTCTTTCAATTTAACTAACTACTGTTTTATTGACATGTAGAGTGGTATACTAATACTTCTGTTATTAATAAATAAAATTTTTGGTAAGACGTAAAGAACTCCAAGATAATTCATCATTAATTAAAAAATTCTAATTCATTTGAAAACCTTTGTTTGGTCAACTAAGAGCAAAATGGTAATAAAGGGAAAGACGAAAGAAAAATAATGAAAAGTTGATACTTGTTCGAGACAATTTGCCCTTTCGACACAATCTCTTTCGAGCTCACAACAAACTTCATAATGTCTTCCAAAAAAAGATAGTTCATAGAGGTGACTTGTAATAATCATGTGATCTCCACAATATGTTTCTAATTTTTCATTTCTCTCTTGATCCTCTAGTTCACTAAACCTATGTGCATTTTCTAAGAGATAAACAACTTGCTTTAGATTTGTCAAATTGGTCACAATCAAACAAGATGCCTTTAAACCAAATTGTGGTTCATTGAGGACCACGTGGGGTATTAGTGAATATAACAAAACTGGTTCTTGCCATTAGTTGCCATTTATAGCTTAGAGAATAACTTTTCCTATTATAAAAAGTATAGCTTTGTGAGATCTTTTAGTTGTTTGTTTGAAGGATATGAAGATTGAATCTAGAACCCATACTAGTTCCATCTACTTACTTTTATAAATGATGGTGTGCATTTAACACACTACACACATAATGCAGGTTGTTTAACAACATTAACGTACCCCAACCATGATGACCTGTATAATCAAAGCAAGCTTGAATCTTTGCAACATATCATGTACTTGATTGTAGTTTTATGACTTTATCACTAACCTCTATTTCATGTTGTCTCTGCTTAACTAGGCCTACTAGATACCGTATAGTCATTTTTCAAACCACCTACTAAAACACGCCGTCATGTCTCCCTTGATGCTCAGTCCATTGAGCTTTTCTTAATTCATGGTTTATTGGTAAGGGTACAAATCAATAACCTACATAACATGCTGGTACTCTAAGCATACATTGAAATGTAAATTGATCTTCCTATGCAACTAAAAAACTCTCAATTCCTTCTATAACAACAAACTCATACAAATTTGAGTGAGACAAATACATAAAAATGTACTTACTTCATCTCTACCAAAAATATATGTTCCCAATACTAAAAGTTAAGCAACGGCATCAAATTAACGGGCATCCCATATTACTGTTAACTAACCCAGCTCTCCCCTCTATCCTCTTCTCTAAGAGAGCATTTGCGCTCATAAGTGCTCCCTTACTTGTATTTGATACTCAATACCTTTATGTATGTGTATTTTGTGTGCTTTTTCTCGATAATTGTTCTACTAACAGCACAGAAAATTTGTCAGCCAAGTTTAAGAAGTCATCTGCTTTCATTATTTCACACAACGCATGCCACGGATGTCGTTAGTGGTGTTGCAATTTAGTTTATATCTTCCCCAACTTGCACACCTGAAGGTGTAGTTAGTTCCTTTTCCTACAAACCCTGCTCTGGCTCTATCAACCAACAGATCTCCAACCACTACTCCCTAGAGGTATTTCGATACCCTTCATCCATCCACAGACCTACTTTTCCCCAAATCAACTTTTCCATGCCCCCAACTTCGAAACCTTCTACTGCAATCTTAGCAACTTAATCCGTCATGGTAAAATCATGTATTCTTCAAATCAACACAAGTCATAAAATTAGAGTAGATGACATTTAGAATGGAGCTCTCGTTTGAGCCTAGAACCTGCAGGCTGTAAATCATCGTATACGGCAATATAGGCAAACATGGTATCAAAAACATGCATAGATAAGAATCCCATTAAATTAAGATCGAATCCAGCATGAAATACAACAAAACAAAATATATGAGCAAAAACCATCTGTGACACGTGCTTAGGTCTTCAAATTTCAACGAACCTCAAAGAAGACAAACCAAAGTAAAAATTTCCCACATCATATAACAATTACAACCAAAATTGACCATGCGACTTCCATAACAAAAAGGAACAAACAGAAAAAAGAAAACACAAACCCTAAAACGCTGGAAAAAGAAATCAAGCTAAAAGCAGAGATTCATTGAGAAGAAAACACCACCTGAAGATTGATGGAGTGTGAGTGATCCTTAAACCTGCAGGGGGTTCCAATTTTCAACTATTCTTTCTCTCTTTCAATTTTTGAACGAGAATAAAAGGAGACGAATGAAAGGGGCTTTGACTTTGAGTGATAGGAGGGGCGTTTGAGTTTGACGGGGGCTTATTAAATAATGGGCCGGGCTTAATACTTCGAAATGGCCCATTAGTTTTCCTCCATGGGCTTATTTTTCTGTAAAGATTAGACTTAAAGATGCAACAAAATTTGACAAAAACTCTTAAAACTGTTTTTTATGCATAAAATATTGTTTATTGATGTATATTACTTAAAATTCAAGATTACAAGTAAATTGTACGTAAGTACAACTTATTAAAGCTTCATGTTCGAATTCGTGTAACTAATTGCAAATAAACATAATCAAATAAAAGATAAACATCTCATTTTAACTTTTTAAGTATAAAAAATCTAAAATGTAATAAAAATAATCATTGAGTTATAACAAAATACTTAATTATTATCTTTATCAAAAATTATATTATTAAACCAAAAAAATGAATTAAGGAAATACACAAAAATAATAAATTTTAAATAGCTAGTTTAATACCAATATCAATATTCTTTTTTCAAATTTTTATGATACATCTTCACATTTATATTTTATTCAAAAATAAAAACATTATATTTTTCTCAAAATTACATAAAACTGTATTATAACATTGATCGAGACAACAAACAAGTAAAACAAAACATCAAAATCGAGATGTATCTCGTTGCATTATGTCAGTACCCTTCTAGTATTATTTAATCAATATTTATGGTTTAGAAAAAATAGTACTTTGTCGTCTACCCGACACGGTAGGGGGTATGATATGCCCCTTCATTTATATTGACTTCGTAATTCTTATAAAATATTGATAACAAAAGTTTGTAACCTTTTTAATGTTATTAGTTTGTATTTGTGGGTTCGATTTTCCTATATCGTAAAAATAGATGGCATTTAAAAGTTTGGAGTAGAATTGTTTTAAAGTGAAATTCAAGGGGTTTATTGTGCCAACCTCTTAATCTAGTGTTAATATAAAAGAGGTTTTAGAGAAAATGAGAAGAATTTTGGAGTGAGATTGGGAGAAGAAGGAGAAGACGATGGAAGTCTTTTAGGGCTTCACATCTCGATTTCTTGGCATCTGGTCGTCGAATTAAGGGGCTGTTTACCAAACGTTTACATGGGTAAGTGCTTAACAAATCACATTACATTACCGGATGAATATGGTAAAGACCAACAATCTTACCCGGTAAGAACGAGACAAAGACCAAGAGTCTTACATGGTAAGTGAGGGCAACGACTCTTACCACGGTAAGTGCTTACCTGGTAAATTGTTGCATACGATGTCGTTTTGATGGACTAAAATCTTATCCGGTAAGTAAATAGTAGTGTTAATTTTGCCGGTAAGCACTTACTGAGTAAGTGTTTGGTAAACGACCCATAAGTTATTTATGTTTAAGGGGCTGCTTGTTTGGCTCTTAATGGTGACATTAAGAGCCAACCTCTTAATCGGTAAGAGGTAAGGGTTGTTTGGCAAAAAAAAGAGAACATCTTAATGGCTACAAAGGGCTCTTAACGATTTAGTGTTTAGGGCTCCCCTAAATGATTCAGAGGGGTCTTCTTCTATTTTTGCCCTCTCCTCAAACTTCAGCAGGCAACAGCCGCTGCTCCTCCCACCCTCCTTCCTCCTTCCTCCTTCCAATTGATCTCGCCTCCTCCCACGCCTCCCACCCTCCTTCTTCCTTCCACCTTCCTCCTTCCAATCGATCTCGCCTCCTCCCATGAGTTGCTGCCTCCCATGAATTGTTGTTGTGTCGCCTTCCACGAGTTGATTCAAATGGGTCTGCTGTGTCGATCGTTCCTCCCACCCTCGTTCCTTCTTCCTTCTTCTTTCTTCCACAACCCCCTTGATGTTGTATCGTTTCCCTGCTATCTCGTCTCCCTGTTCTTGCCATTTGCCTTGGCTTGTTCTTGGGTTAATGTCATGCTTGCACCAAATGCCATGACTAGTATATCTTTTACTTCATATTTAATTTTCTTGTAGGGGGAGAAGGGGGTAGGGAAGGGATCGATTGGAAAGGGGGTGGGGAAGGGATCGATTGGAAGTTTTTGTTTGTGGAAATGTTTCTGTTTCCATTTATTTATCTTCATCTTGTTAGTATATCTGATATATCTGGAAAATGTGGATGAAAAAATAGTTATGGGTGTTGCTACTACAGCTGTTTCGTTGACATTACAGTAAACCCTTGGCAATCAGAATGCTTAGATATTTGAGAACGAATCTGATAATTTATTATTAATTGTGGATGAAAGTTAAGGTGATCGAAAGTTGGGGTTGGACGGGTATATGATATACGTCTTGGTTTATCCAGTACTAAATCATACAGAGAGTTAAAATGGTAATGTATTGTCATTCAGAGAATAATTACCAAACAACCTTGTTTCATTCAACACTTAACCATTCTGACCTCTTAACTATTTTGCACTAAATCATTCAGCAACTGCCAAACAGCCTTTAAGTTTGATTTCTTGATAAATTTGATGTTTAGGTTGGTATTGAGTTCGATTGTTGGGTTTTTAGGGCACAAAATCTAGTTTTAGCGTTGTCACAGAGGACAACCATGTACATGTGTAATTTATGTGATAAACCCGTTTTTATGATGTATATAAATCCCTAATGTGTTATATCTTTCATATTTGATGCATTAGAACCTAAAATCCTTCAAGGATTGGAACAAATGGGTATTATAAATCTCGTTAGTAGAAGTGATTTGTTGGGTAAGTTTATTTCATGTTTAGAATAGTTTTGAGTTCATCTAAGGGGTTGTTTGTTTACCTCTTAATTGTTTCATTAAGAGACATCATCTGAATTGTTAAGAGGTGAATCTTGTTTGGCAAAAAAAAGTCTGTCTCCTAATGGTTCTAAAACCATCTGAATGATTTTGTATCATAGGTCTCCCTTAACCATTTAGCATCCTAATTTCATTGTAAACAATTATCAAACAATTATATTTCATTTTACACTATATAATGAGAGTCTCTTAATCATTCTTACCACTTAATTATTCTGTACAAAATCATTCAACAATTGTCAAACAGCCCCTAAGATGTTCATCATGAGTTTGAAGTTGAAAATTGTAATCTTTGACAATCTTTGAAAGTCAAAGTTACTTTGAAATCATTATGAAAGTGTTAAGATGTTTGATATGATTTGTTCCTTGGTATCATTAAGATGTTATCAGATGTAATGAAGAAGAAAATTTCCACCCAAGCATGTTTTTGATGGTAGATTAAAGGTTATGTTCAAAACAGTTATTTAAAAAAAAATCAAACTGTTTTTATTTAATTCTACAATTGAGTCATTTTATGCAAAATTAAGGATTGAAATTCGGTGGATATAGTTATGATAATTATATAAAGGTGCTACAATAATCTTATCAATGTTTCTTACAGGTTTTGATGGATTTTCAAAGTTAAAGAATGTTTGGTTCGGTTTGACTTAAAATATGAAAGCTTATGCATCAGTTAGTTTTTAAGTGCTAAATGAATGTGTGAACCTTCTAAACATATTTTAAAATGTATGTTAAGCATGTTTTGAGGATTAGAATGTAAGTCTAGAGCCTCAGAAAAAATAGGAGCAAGTCACTGGATTTAAGTTAATTCGATGCTTAAAGTTGTAAAAATTATATAAAATCACTCGTAACTCGGATTTAGACGAGTGCTACCTTTATGGAACTGTTGAGAAGTCTTCTACAATCGATATGCTTTGAGCATGAGGTAATTTGGGCTACAGATAGGTCAAAAAATGGGTTTTGCAGAGCTATCTATTTTAGACGCAAATAATTGTTTATTTATTTTAAACCCATGTATGAAAAGGTTCAAATTCCATTTTTAGTGGTACTTGATGGTATATTAAGACAATGAAGTTGTCTAAGTATTGATATGAGAATCATATATGGATTGTTTAGGTGGCATGGCGGATAAACAAGTTGTGCACCGGCAGGATCTCAACTAAATAGGCTAAGTTGAGTTTCAAGTAGATTTTAATGGGGTGCACGTCAAAACGTAATTACTTTTATATGACTTATCTTTGTTGGACATATTTTGGTGCTTAAACTGGTGAATGCATGATTTTAAACGAAGTTATGAAAGGAGGGTATTAATGTTTTATACAAAGTGACTTTATACATATTAAACACGTCTTGTTTCTTTGATAAAGTAAATGGGAAATACTTTAGTGGATTGAAAATACTTTAAACAAGCATGCTTTGTAACCAAAAGATGAGAATCATCACTTTGTATATATGGGGCAACATGAGTTATTTATTTACTCACTGTTATGAATATAGTAGATCCGGATCTGGAGACTTATGGTCACCCTCTTTGTTGTGTTAGTATTAGGGTCGCTCCCTTTACAGTTAGATGGGTTGCTCTCATCGGTGATGTATTAGAGTACCGTGCATGGATATATGTGCCAGATACTCGGCTAATAGGTATAGTGTCAGGTGAACACCTTGCACAATGGTGATTATACCAGAATTAGCCTAACAGATAAGTGGACTGTTGGGAAGTGCTCCTCCATTGATTCTGGTTGTAATAGGCCACCTCTATATTGTGATATCCATATAAATTTATAAATATGATTGATCGCAAACTTATATTGTTTTGGATGAAATTAACATGTGTTTGACATGTCACATCGATCATATGTAAATCATGTTGTTGTTTTTTTTAAAGTATATAAATTACTTGAACTATTTTATTGTGAAAACTCTTAAACTCATCAGGCATGTAGCCTGATTTGTTTTGTCTGTCGACATGCATCTCAGGAAATCGTTCAAGTGATTGTGCTAGCAAACATTTGATTATTTTAAGGCTAGCAGGTAAGCTCGTTGGATGATGCTATACTTGGAACTTTTGGAAGGTTAATCTAGTTTGGTGAAGGTATTTTGGGACTTAATGAATGTAGCATCATACCTTGTAAATAGTCGTCTTTATAAAGACCAATTAGTAAATGTGGCATTTTGTATAGCCATTTATTTTGAAAATTTTACTTCAGCAAAAATGTTTACAGGTTATAAAAAATGGCAAAACATGACTTTACGAATGACTCATGCCGAATTCTTGCAAGAAATTATAATCTACAGTTAGAGTGTTATATATACTGATATTGTAGGTGAATGGCATTTCTTGTTTGTGTTTTACTTTTTAGTTTACTTTTTATTCGTTTCCTAAAATGTTTATATATGAATGTAAAGCTTAATCTCGATGATGCGTACTAAAATATATCAAAGAGTTATCTTTGAATTGGTATAAGAGTTAGTTATGGGGTTTTTCCCTTTTTTCCGGTAGTGGCATCAGTCATGCCACCATCGTCGCAAACGAAAGTCTGCCACAGTGATCTAGGAGCCCTGTGTGGAAGGGTTCTTGCTAAACGGATGAAAGATACGTCATGTCAAATCCTGCCACCACCAGTCTCACCATCTTCACATCTCGTCACCACCACCAGTCTCACCATCTCTAGATTCCAGATCTTAGTTCGTCATCATATTTCCTTCCAACTTCAAGTCATCATAGAATTTATTTGTAACCAAATTAAAGTTCCTATAAGAAAATCTCAACTTTCTTCACTATATATATATATATATATATATATATATATATATATATATATATAAATATATATATATATATATATATTTAAAGAAAAGATATATCTCGTCGAAATAGTGATATTATTCGAAAGCTAATGTTTTGCTTTAATGGGAAACACAAACAATCCATTTTAACAATTACAACTTTAAAATACTTATTCTATATAGAATTTCATCAATATTTATCGTTGGACTGAACTATCTCTTGTTTTGTACCCTTTTGTTACTCGTCTACATAATCGATGCTAGGGGTTCTCAAAAACCCGACCAACCCAATCCAACAACACAAAATAACTCAACCCGAAGCAACCCGATGTCTAATCGAGTTGTAAATTTGTCAAACCGTAGGTATTGGGTTGATATCGAGTTACTATTATTTGAACCCAACCCAACCCGATGAACTCGATATCCTTTTATTTCTTCGATTTAATATGATTGTTGAATTTCTATTAATATGTACATTAGACAATTACACTATCATGTATGCTCTTCATATACACATATTTTCAATCTATTCATATCTTTATATAATTCATTCGTATATATGTTCAGTAACTGTGAATATATATTTATATAAATTGAGAAAATTAACTGAATGTGATATACGTAAGAAGTATGGATAAGTTGTATCAAATGATTGATTATGAAAAAGAAATTATGAATAGAGAAACAACATATTCTAAGTTAGAATAATATTTTAATGTACGAAAGTATCAACCCGACTAACCCGCATGGGTTAGGTTGCACTTTGGTTTAGGTTGGATTGAGTTAAGATTTTTCAAACCGCAAGCATTAGGTTGAGTTGTTCAAATGTTTTCAACTCGATCAACCCAACCCATGAACACCCCTAGTCGATATAACAAAAACAAAATTAGTCATTTGAGTAAGACTTGCAATATGTTGATTTGCATTGCTTCATTAAGGCATATAAAATACAATACATACATTCACATGCATATAAACAAAAAGAATACACATCAAGGTTGCAAAGGTTCTCTTATGTCTATCCAAAGGCCACACTCTATAACCAACTAAATTTACTAATTTACCCCTCATCTTCTATGTTATAATTCATAAAGTAACACAGAGAGATACGTTGATAACCCTCTTGCACATTTCATGTTTGTAGCAAAACCCTGAAGCCAATTTTGGAAAGTTAAACAAAAAACCCGACTTTCTAAACCAAAAGATCTTGCCCGAGCTTCGGGAAAGTTATATCTTTATCAAGTTTCTTCGGTTGAAGAAAAACAATTGAAGACGACGAGGTTTGGTTCTCTGGCGAGTCTCGTGGGAATTCTGAGAGCATTTGGACAACCTCTCTCATTGTCGGTCTTTCTACACTGTTTTCTTGAATGCATAACATGGCAATAAAGAATAAGTGCATCGCTTCATCTAGCGGAACATTCACCAACCTCGAGTCGAGAATGCAGTTGACTTCTTCTTTTCGACATCTGGTCGATGTTCTAGCCCACTGTACAATATCTACCCCGTCACCAAATCCTCCCACTGGACGCTTCCCTGTAATCAGTTCAAGAAGTACAACCCCGAAACTATAAACATCGCTCTTCTCATCCACCCTTAAAGTGTAAGCATATTCTGCAAAAAAAAAAAAAACACATATTTTATTAGCATTTACAATTCCAAGGAATTTATAAATCATTTTCACATCTAAGAAACAATAAGATTTAAATTTATAAAAAAATATTATATTTATTTTGATAAAAAAAGACGTTTAATACGTGGAAAATGAGGTGGAAATGAGTCAGCTTTTGCAACACAAGAAGAGACGTGGATCTGTTATCAGATTTTTGTTGTGTTGAGTTGCGGTCTGTGTCAGATTTTGACTCCGACGGATCCCACCGTCCATTTTCTCTAGCAGTGATTCGGTGAGGTTACCTATAAAATTCTCTTGCCATGTACCTACAAATCCTACGTCCTCCGTTTATTTCATCTCTCTAGCATAAATCACGGGTGTCGTTCATACGACACGTTACTTTCACAAGCCCCAGCTACTATCTGCTACACCACCACCACACCTTTAACTCTACACCAACCTTATAATCTATTTTCTGCCAATTATAATCCATCCTAAAATACTTTTACATTTTTATTTTAGAATATTATCTGCATTTTCAAAACTAAAATCCTCACTTCTCAAATTTATTTTTAATTATAAAATAAATAAATAAATTATTTCTCTAAAATAAATTACCATTTAATTAATTAAATATATAATAATTACATATTTTTCATTGCCAACATTTATTTTGGAATGTAGGTCGTATGATTTAATTTATACTTGTAACTAAAATACGTACCAGGAGCAATGTAACCATATGAACCCGCAATTGCGGACATGCATTCGGATGCGCCACCATCAACTAGGTACTTTGCGAGCCCGAAATCAGCTACGTGAGCTTCGTAACTCGAGTTCAGCAAAATATTATTAGATTTGACATCTCGATGCACAATCAACGGCGAGCAATCATGATGTAGGTAGCACAACCCTCGAGCTGCTTCTATTGATATTTTGTACCGTAGATGCCATCCGAGAATGCCGCCCTTAATTTTAGCATGTAATGCCTCTCCTAAACTCCCGTTTCGCATGTACTCGTACACGAGAAGGTTGGTGTCCTTGTTCGAGCAAAATGCCAGTAGTCTCACGATGTTTCTATGCCGAATGTTGCCCAAGGTTCGTATTTCTGCTCTGAACCCATGGTCATGAGTCGTGTTTCCAAACCCAACAAGCTTTTTTACTGCGATTTCAGTCCCGTTTGGCATTTTGCCGTGGTAGACAATTCCGGCTCCGCCTCGCCCTATCACATTACCATCTTTGATGCATTCAAGAACGTCGGCAATTGTGAATTCGAGCTTTTGGAATGATGTCATCTTCCAAGCATCTGAACCCGATCTTCTGAATGACTTGGCTTTGATCATAGCTGCAGCCGCAAAAACTAGCGAGCAAATAAGAAGACCGAGAGCGAAAATTAACTTGAACCTTCCGGGCTTTTTGTTAGCGGAATTGGTGATTCCACTCACATTGCAAGGATTGTTCAGCAATTCGCCACAAAGCTGTGGGTTACCCACGAAGGAGGAAGCGTTGAAAAACGCAAATTGACCCGATTCAGGTAGTTTACCCGAGAGATCATTGAACGAAAAATCAGCGATTGTGAGACTTTTCATGATTGCGATGGATTTAGGAATGGAATCATTCAGGTGGTTTCTTGAGACATTAAAGTAGTTCAAGATTCGGATACTTGAAACCTCCGTTGGAATTGAGCCAGAAAGATCGTTTTGGCTCAAATCAAGATAAGTGAGATGGAGACAGTTTCCGATATCCGGTGGGATTTCACCGGAAATGGAGTTCCCACTTAAGTCGAGCTTTGAGACCTGGTGGAGTTGACCGATAGACGTCGGAATTGGGCCAGAGAATCTGTTTCCGGCGAGTAAAAGGATTTGGAGGGAAGAGAAATTCGAAAGAGAAAATGGCAGATAACCCGAGAGTTGATTATTCGATAAATTCAGCTGACTTAATTTAACTGGTCTTGAAGAAGGATTCCAGTTGTCAGAAAGATTACCGGACAAGTAATTGCTCTGCAGCTCCAGTAAATTTAACTCCGGCAAGTACATGAGTCCTGCCGGAATGCTACCATTCAAGTAATTCTCCCCTAATCTCACTCTAACAAGGCTCGAACAAGTACCCAAATCCTCTGGAATCGATCCAAACAAGAAATTTTTCAGGAGAATCAAGATTCTGAGCTGATTAGAGGCACACAGATCACGAGGGATAGTACCGGTGAGCTTATTGGTCGACAAATCGAGCTCACGAAGATTACGATTCCGGCCAAGATTCTCTGGTATCACACCCGTGAAATTGTTACTCCAGAGACCAAGTGTCTGCAAGTCCGGAAAGTCTGCAACGAAATCCGGTATCGACCCATGTAACCTGTTCATGAACAGATTCAAGAGCTTTAGATTCTTGAGATTTCCGAGCTCATTTGGGATTTCGCCGGAGAATGCGTTGGCAGAGAGGTCAAGATTCACAAGACGTGTTAGATTCCCGAGTTGCCTTGGAATTTGACCGGAAAGGAGATTGATGTGCAGGAAAATGGTGTCGATGGAATGCAAATTCCCAAGCTCCGGTGGGATTGGTCCGTCTAATTCACATGATGAAAGATCCATGTGAACTAGATTCACCAATTTCCCAAATTCCTCCGGAATCCCACCTTCAAACACATTGTAATAACCCATATAAATCTCTTTCAAGTTGGTAAGATTACCCAACTCCGCCGGAATTCTTCCATGGAGGTCATTTCCTGCGAGTGATAAGTATTCCAAAGTAACCATTCTCCCATAGCTCTCCGGAATTTTCCCATAGAAATAATTCCCACCCAAGTCCAGATACTTGAGTTTCTTGAGGCTCGTGATTCCAGTAGGCAGTGGGAACGAGAAATTGTTGTTGTACACATCAAAAACTTCCAAATTTGGCAGGCTTAAGTAATTCCATTCCAACCCACCACTGAAGGCATTATTCGATAGGTTTAGAAACCGGAGAGAAGTCAAATTGGAGAGATTGATTTCTCCGGTGAAGTTATTGCCGTCGAGAGAAAGTTGTTCAAGATTGTCAAGAGACAAAATAAGAGGGGAAACAGAGCCATGGATTCTCATGTTTGACAAATCGAGTGAAACCACTCTGTTTTGTAAGCATTTAATTCCAGCCCATGAGCAAATTGAAGTAGGGTTAGAAGAATTCCAAGTGTCCAAAGCAAAAGGAATGGAATCAAAGCCTTGTTTGAGAGCGACTACGGCATCAAAATCAGTGGATACAGAAGAAGCAAGCAAAAAACATAGTGTTGTGATTACGACCAACAAAGACAACATTTTTTTGTGGGTTTTTTGTTTTGTTAATTTCTATGGGGAATTAGTTTGGAAGGATTTGTAGAAGAAACAAAATGATTTATGGGGTGGAATGGAAATGGATTTCTTGAAAAGGAATGGAAAAGTGAAGGGAATCTGAGAAACTTGAAGGATCAAAGAATCAAGCATCTTCAAAGAGAGTCTTGAAATTCAAGGAAGAAGCTAAACCCCTCCTTTTCCGCCTTTCTCTCTCTCTCTCTCTCTCTCTCTCTCTCTAAAAGTGGTGAGTAATGGAAAAAGGAATGGAATTGGTATTCCAGAGTCTATCAAGACCTTCTTTAAGCAAAGGTGATAGAGAGAGGAAAGGAAACAAAACAGCCGTTGGGCAACAGAAATTTAAAGTTTGAGAGTGGTAATTCATTCTTGTTTACCCCTAAAACCACTTGTACCTTATGCATAAAGAGTTGTACACTTGTTTGGATTTTGGGATGTTTGAGTCTGGCAAATGATGGGTTTTTGGGATTAGGAGCAAAGATAAAGTTGATTCTATCTATCTATCTATCTTTATACTTTAAAGTGACAAAAATACCCTTTAGCTTTAATCAAAGGGTAGCCATCTTTACTTTGAATGAGGGTAGTAGGATAGGGAAAACAAGAGGTGATGAAATTTGCACTTTGGGTCATCAACAATGGCTGAATGGTCACTTTTTATGTCATCATTGATGATGATGAACATGTATGCATGTATGGTGGTGACTCACATATACAATATTACATAACATAATGTAAAAGTATGTTTCAAGGGTTGATGATGATGGTGGCTGATCATATGTGTCATTAGGCCATGTTTGTCCCAATTCATCATCATCATCAAAAATTATATTAGGGTAAATCATTTTGCCAACAATAATTGACATAATAAGAGGTACTACTGACATCACTTTAAACCGAAATACCTAAGATTAGTTATAAGACTGTGTAGGTTATGTCTTTTATCCTTTTTTTAGCTCGAGATTTGACAAACTCACGCACATTAGTATTGTTGTCGGAAAATCCACCTCTTTGTTCATCACGCGAGTTTACTTAATTCATGCATCATCTGATGTCATATCTTACGATATAGACCTAAAACGACAATTAATTTGGAATCCATAATATAAGATAAAAGAAACCATGTGTGGGACAAACATGGCTCGGTGATCTTCGTACCAATCATTATAAACACGATCTAGATAAACACTATAATGGGCTATAAGCATTTGTGGTATTTTCACGCTATGCCAAGTCTTCCCGTATCTTTTTATAGCCCACAGATCCCATTTCTAATCATTAAACACGATCTTACCCTCGATTTTTGTCAACGTCATCTTTCTTTAGCCCTCAACTAATCATTAAAAAACGACCTTATTCCAACCATTTTTAAGTATCTTTATTGATCCCAGAAGCAATTATTAACGATGATGTTATTTCCATTTTTCTTGACGTCTCTTTATGTAGTCCCCAAGGTAATTATGAACGACGATGATTCCAGATTTTCTTTGAGTATGTTTAGTGTAGTCCCGATTGTTAATTATCAAGGACGACTACAAAAAGAAAAAGGTGGTAAATTTAATCAATAAATAAATGTTGCATGAACGAAGAAAAAAAAAGCAAAGTACAACCTCGAAACGAGTTTGTGATGTTTGTTTATGTATGGCACATGTACCCCAACTATTTGGGTATAGAGACAGAATTTTGTGTATTTATAGGTAGTTGCGTAATGCATGCAAACCTTAAAATTAATGGGTGTTTCTTTTGAAATAGATTTGGGTAAATCTTTCTGGAAATTTATAATTACAACTATTATTTATTTATTTTAAAATTGAAAGAAAAATATGATTCTTATAAGATCAAATTAAATGTTAGACAGTTGAGATTTATTTCCATCTTCTTAATTTTTTTGTCATTCTTATATATATACACATACATACCATACACACACACACATATATATGCCAGGTTTTGTGAAAAACTGTAAAAGAACCTAATAAGCACTCATTTGTACAGTATGTACATGTGCATACAAGTAATTTGTTCAATATGTACATATTCATAACATGCATAAAAAATAAAAACCAAGTAACATCATCAATTACTTGTATGCACATGTGCATACCATATAGATAAATGGCTAATTAGTGTTCCTTAGTTTTTCATTTTTTTGGGTTTTTTCCTGAACTTCACACTATGTGTGTGTGTGTATATATATATATATATATACATATATAGGCATGTTCAATGGAAAACCGAAGTTCCATTGTGAAGCGGGGGACAAAAGAAAGCGCACCACGTGTCCCGGACATTCATGGGTTATTCATCATGCATGAATTGTATCATTTATCATGAATGGTGTATACACTAATCACTAACGGTTATATTTATTATTCATGATGAATGTGGACAACCAGTTACACTCTCCTTTGTCCCCCACTTCACAACTGAAAAAAGATTTACAATTGAACTAACGTAAGTTCAAATAAGAACCATACATATTTTGAAAAGTGTGAGAACAACTATATATATATGTGTGTGTGTGTGTGTATATATATATATACATACATACATATATATATATATATATATATATAGTATTAGGAACCCCCGAAAAAATAAGTAAACTGATGAAGACCCTAATAACTATTTATCTACATGGTATGCAAATGTACATATACAAGTAATTGAAGATATTTCTGGTTTCAATGCATATGTGTATGCTATGTACATTTGCATAAATGACAAATTTCTTGTGTGTGTGTATATCTATCTATCTATATATATATATATATATATATATATAGGCCTTCATTTAATAACTCATAAAATTGTGATAATCTTGAGAATTGATGCATCATGTATAATTTCATGTGATTCCTTCTACGACTTAAATTTAACATATTTCACAACATGAACATTTTTTATGTATTGTCAACAAAATACAACTAAAAAAATACCTAAGAATGAATATATATATTTTACACTGAAACCAAAACCAACAAATTGCGGTACACAAGCAATTCTAGTACCATAACTAATTATTAGGGTCTTGTTGTAATGGAGCATGGAAAACTAGGGTTTTTTTTTTACCATTTTTTAATAAATTGAAAATTAGGAGTAGGTATGTGCATAGACATATATAAAATATAAGGTTGGGAGGATGGAAAGATGTGTATGGACTGCAAGCAACAAACAATGTGATGACAGTAGAAGTGTGTGTAAGAAGTGAAAAAAGATGATTATAATTCATTGATCATTACAATGTTTTTTTTTCATCCTCATTGCATCTTGCTGCAAAAGAACTGCATGGAATCAAGAAAACCCTTCTCTCTCTCTCTTCTCTCTCTTCTCTCTCTCTCTATATATATATATGTATGCATATGTATGTATATATATATATACGTATATGTATATGTATCTGTGCAAAAGCACACATACATCCACATTGGAGTGTGTGTGTGTCTGTGTGTGGGGGAGAGGAGAAGCAGGAATGGGACCAAGACTGTTGTTTATTTGGAGGAGGAAGATGATGGAATAGTCTAAAAGAGAGGACTGAAAAGCAAAAGAAAAGAAATATTTCATCTTCCACTTACAAAAAGAAAAAGAAAAAGAAAAAGAAAACTCCCATCCACTCTTTCACATGGAAAAGAGTGCTCTTGTTTTCATCTTTACCTTCATTTCTTTTTTTTATATATCATAACAAGAAAGTACATTATGCTATGATTAAATAAAACCCTGATTTCGTTTACAGGGCTAGCTTATGTTTTTCGAACCCTTACGGGACTTTTATGGTCGCTGAAACTTCTATCGTAGTTGGGATTCTGCTTGTTAAGGTATGCGAGGCCGTGGCCTTAATGGAAGCGATGTTTTGGGAAACAACCTCGGATCCCAGAAAGTGATTTTCGGATCGGATGCCAAACAAGTCGTTGTTGTTGTCAACCCTATTGAAAAAGATGGAACGGAATTTGAGGGTATTATTTTAAGGTGTTGTAGATTACTCCATCGACATGACGCTTACTTGGTCTATTTTACTAGGAGATAAACTAACCGAGTTGCTCATGCCCTTGTAAGGACATCTCGTTTAACTTATCCCTTTTTTGGCTTATTCCATGAACATCGTATGAAAGTCTTCGATTGTTTTTTCAATGAAAGTCTTCGATTGTTTTTTCAAGAAAAAAAAAAGAGAAAAAGTATAAAACCCTAATTTATTTGACTAAAATATCAATACTATACATGACATACTTTCAGAAATGTAACACATATTTGGTATAATATATATATGAAAAAGATATGAATTTAATTGAAGCCCATGCATGGGAACCGGTGCTCTTGTATAGGGTCTCAACCTTCAACACTTCTTTAATTTGCTTTCTTCCTCTTCTTGTGTGTGACCTGTCTTGTCTACCCCTTTTCAAGTATATATATATATATATATATATATATATATATATATATATATAGGTGGAGGTTCAAACGAGAACATATTCATTTTACGAGAACATTCTTATCACATGTGATAATATACTTGAGGGGACTTGGTGGTGTATGGATGTCGTGCCTAAGTCGCACCAAAGGTCGTCTGCGTTTATGATTTAGTATCACATTTGATGATCTTGATAGATTATAGCATCACATTAATAACACATTTATCACATGTGATAGTACATGTGAGGGGGCTTAGTGGTGTAAGAGCGATTTGACCTACAACGTAGATCACGTTAACAGTCGTCCACATCAATGATTTAGTATTACAAGTGTATCATATGTATTGGAATAACAATATCACATGTGATTGTTTATGGTATAAGGGTGTTCTCATGTTCTCGTAAAATGAAGGTGTTCTCGTTTGAACATTTTCATATGTATGCATATATGTATATGTATGTAGGGGTCGGTTCAAGGAAGAACTGATTTGTGCAATTCAATCTCAACCACAAATTAATGAATAAATTAGGAAACTAATATTTTTGGTAATTTGACTTAAAATTATA